CTGGCTTGGCAGGAGCAGGTCGGGGACGCTTGACGCCGTCGTCCTTGAAGTTTGTACTGGCACACTCCGCCAGAATACGCTCGCGGGAAGCTGTGAGCGGAGTGTACTCGGTGAAACGGCCCGAGGGGCCCCTTTGTTCCCGGACTTCCCGGGGTCGGTCTTCTTTCCTTTTCTCCCCGGTACGTCGGGGAGGAGCCTCTTGGCGTGAGCTGCTGCTGTTGTTGGGACCCCGAGTCCTGGAGTCTCGGGCCCTGTTGGCAGCTTCCCTCTCCTCGTAATCCATATATGCTCGAGCTTTATCGAGGAAGACGTCGAAAGACCTGGGCAGCTCGATTCCCACGGCTTTTCTGAATTCTGTGCCGGGGAGGAGCCCCCTCTCCAGCAGATATCTCTTCATGTGGTCCGTACAGGGGACCTGTATCGCTTCTCGGTTGAAGCGGTTGATGAACTCCCTCAAGGTCTAATCCTGTCTTTGGATGATGGCCTCGAGCGCCGCCTCGGTCTTTGGATGGCGCCGAGAAGCGGTGAAGGAACTGATGAACTGGTTCTTCAGGTTCCGCCACGAGGTGATTGAGCCCGGGGCGAGTCCTTTGTACCAGTCCATGGCCGCCTTCCTGAGAGTCGTGGGGAAAAGACGACACTTGATGGGCCCCCCGACATTATGATAATGGAGCATGGCCTCGAACCCGTCAATATGGTCGACCGGGTCCGCAACTCCGTCATACTCCTTCAGATGTGGGGGCTTCTCCATACCCGGGGGGATGGGTGCATCCATGATGGCCTGCGACAGGGGACCGCGGGGGTCGTCCTCGTCGCTCCTCTCCGGAGATAGAGAGTGGGACCTGTAGTATTGTCTGGCACGGTGGTCGTGCTGAGTCTCCCTCGAGCGTGATGCTCGCTGGTTGAATGTTACACGCCCGTCCCCGGTGTGTCTCTTGTCGTGCCTCGCCGGGTCGCGACTGGGTTCTCCGGCGGGGATGATGGGATCTCTCTCCAGATATGGTCGCCTCTGCTTTGGCCGGGGAGAAGGGCTTCTGGAGTTTTCCCTGTAGTGTCTCCGCGGGGGAGAAGGGTGTCGAACTTCAGTCACCCGAGGAGGGGGAGTATGTGGTCTCCGATGCCTCCTCGAGGGTCTTCGCTCATCTTCAAGCGCTTTTAATCTCTCTCCTTGGGCGAAGATGAGATAGTTCGTTTGGTTAATTGCTGCGAACAGCGCTTGTGTGGTGGCATCCGCCCCGGGGGGGGGGGGGGACGGGGACTTCCTGAAACCAGACGGCTCTGTAGTGGGCGAGGGCCGCCGGGTCGTCCTCGAGTGGTGGTGGGAGCGAGGAGGATGATGCTGTGGCTCCGTCCCTGTGCGAGGAAGTTCCGAGGACGGTTGTTGCAGGAGCGGTGTTATGGCCGGGATTGCCGACGTTGTCGAGATGTCCGTTTTTGTCCGCCGTGTCATTATTGGTGTCGGCGACACGGACGTTCTTCTCATCGGGAGCTGGATCAGCCATGACAGGTAGTTGAATTGAGCTTTGGTCTTTTGAGTTGTTTGTAAGACGGGGAAGCTAGTTTCCCACAGACGGCGCCACTGATCTGACCTGATCAGAAATGGACCGTCACGGCTGGCTCCGAGCTGAAAGCTTTTTGAACGAGGTGGGGGGGTACCTGCAAGGCACTCTGATGCTGAAGTAAGTAGAAGCACGAGCAGGCAATAATAAGTGTATGGGTAGAATGATGAATACCTGACCCTCTGGAAACAGAGGGTATTTATAGCCCCCAGCGCTGGGCCAAGGTTCCTTCATTGGGCCGGGCAGGTTTGGCCCAATGGAGGAACTGCCAGGTTCTACGTGCGTAGTGGGGACCCGCACGTGGTCCCCTTCCTGGATGTTCTGCGTGAAGTGCGGGCGGACGGAGACGCGGTCTTTTCGGGGTCTCGTTGGGAGTGCAGTGGACTGAGTCTGCCCTAGTTGGAGTGCTCGAGGTGATGTCGAGTTGGACAGCAGGATGTCGAGCTGGAGATGTAGAGGTCGAGCAAGTAACCTCAGGGAGCACGTCGGGCACGACTGTGACCCTTTGGTCGGCGTGGTCCTCAGCAAGTCCATTTGGATTGGGCCTTAGCAATGCTATTGGGCCTGTCGGGCCCAGTCCAGAACAAAATATATATATATATATATATATATTATTGTTTTACAAATAAATAAAATACTGTTTTATTAATACACTTAACAATAAATTTGTTTAAAATACTAAACATAAATTTTGTTGTTTTAGTTTAAAAATAGGATTAATATCATTTTACCCCTGTCATATAGGCGGCTTATGATTTTGCCCTTGTAAAACTTTTTTTTTTTTAAAAATACCCTTATCATTTCAAAATGCTAACAATTAATTCTTAAAGTCAAAATTCGCAGTTAAATCTGCAGGTTTTCTGCAGATTTTTTTTTGAATTTACCTATAAATTTTGATTTTAAAGACTAAATTGTTAATATTTTGAAATGAAGGTGCTTTTCAAAAAGAGTTTATAGGAGGCAAAATCAGAATTAACCTATATAACAGGAGAATAAAATAATATTAATCCTTAAAAATATACGTATGTTCTTTTTAAGAAATCAATATATTGTTTTTTTCTAAATAAATATCTTTTAGAGTATATAAATATAATGTTTTCAAAGTCAATAAATATATACTATTTTTTTTAGTTTAAGAAAAAGAGAAAAATATACTGTTTTTAGTTTTTAAAGTATACTATTTTTTCTATATATATATATATATATATATATATATATATATATATATATATATATATATATATATATATATATATATATATATATATATATATATATATATATATATATATATATATATATATATATATATATATATATATATATATATATATATATATATATATATATATACACTATTTTTTAAAATATATAGCACAAAAAGAAACTCACCAAACAAATATATTTACATACATAATTAATCTACTAGATAGACATATCATATCAAAAAATTCAAAAATTTGTATATAGTGTGTATTTGAATTCGAAAATTTTAAACCTTTACTCCAAAATCTTACTCTTTGAGATGAATCAATTGGTATATGAAACTGAAAAATGAAAACAAAAAAAAAAAGATTATAAATTAATTCAGAAAATAAAATAGATACATAAGTGAATCATTTAATAAAATTATCTGAAATTAATTAAGTTGGAGTTGAGAAAATGGATACCTTGAGAGGAAGAAGAGAAAAAATAAAAGTGATATAGAGTCTGTATATGGATGGATAGAGAAGAAGAAGAGGAAAAATATATATTAATAAACGTATACGGGAGCTAGAGCGGTGGGTGGGTGAGTGCGTGAATTTATTGTATGGATAGATGGTGACGAGGCTCCCCTCATAAATGGAACGGTCATATATGGATAGTCGGTGAATTTAATAAAAAATGATTTCTAAAATTCATAAAGTAATATTATTTATAATTACTATTTAAAATATATATATATATATATATATATATATATATATATATATATATATATATATATATATATATATATATATATATATATATATATATATATATATATATATATATATATATATATATATATATAAATTATAAATGTTATATATCGTAAGTTTGGAGGAGATGAACCCTAAATCTTCTTCATCTTCTATCAATCATCTTCGGCCTTCATCTTTTATCAATCATAACTCAAAATCGTTCATTGCTCACAATCGTTCATGTCTCAGTGTTCTGGAGTAAGTAGTCGAACAAAATCTCCTTGCCTCCATGGCGAATGTAAATGTGGTCTCGATGCACCGTTGATGACACATGGACCGATGGTAACCTGTGACGTTGTTTTTACTAGTGTGAGATGTACAAGGTTATAAGCTATCCAAATTTTTGTAAATTCCATCTATAATTTTCATCAGTTATCATTGAAAATTTCTGTAAATTTCTGTAGATTCAGGGGTACAAGCGATGCAATCATTTTGTTTTATATGATGAAGAGATGGACCCTAGAGTAAAATACATGATTTCAACATTGAATTAGAGACTCAATATTGCAAAGCTGAAAATAGATGTAGGGAAGATCCAAGAAGATGAATTAAACGGGAAGATTAGGAATTTGAATACTAAGATCAAGTATTTGAAGTTTTCGATTGCTATGATGGTTGTGTTGGTAGTAGGACTAGTTGTAGGAGGTGTAATGAAGTATGATGTCAAATGTTGTTCAATGTTTTGTCTCTTTTTCCAGATGTATTAATTTGTTCGATGTAATGTTGTTAAATGTTCCAAATGTAACATTTTGTTTATCAATGAGAATATCATTTTGTTTATCAATGAGAATATAAATTTGTTTAGCGAACGATTCAGCTTTAAGTTATTCATTGTTGACAAGTTATTGTTAATTTAAAAATCAATATATGTTCACTGCAGGTCATTGTTAACTTATAGACCAATATATGTTCATTATGGGTCATTGTTAACTTGCATACCAATATATGTTCATGACAGACAGACCATTGTTCATTACATACCATCATATGTTCATTACAGACAAACCAATATATGTTTATGAAAGTTAGAAAATACTTGTTCATTACAGATAACAACAAGTACTAGAATACTTGTTAATTACAGATAACAAAAGCTATCGAAATACTTGTTAGCTACAACAAAAGCTTAACCATAATACCAGATAACAACATTACAACTTAACCATAGTACTTGTTCATTATAGCTAACAAAAGGTACCAGAAGACTTGTTCATTACAGCAAAAGCTTAACCATAATACCAGATAACAACATTACAACTTAACCATAGTACTTGTTTATTATAACTTAACACAAAAGATACTTCAAAAGTTACATAACCAAAAGGTACTCAAACTAACATAAGGTGCTTATAGTACCTGATCATTACTTATAGTATTTAAGCATTACATTACAAATGTTACATAACCAAAAGGTGCTCAAACTAACAAAAGGTACTTATAGAACACTACTGTTGAGATGGCTGTGTAGGTGGAGGGGCTTGTGATGAGCTTCCAATCTCAACTTTGAGGACTCACTTTTAAAAGAAGGAAACTCCACGTGTTCCTCATCACTACCACTCTCATTAGGTGTATGCAACATATCAGAATCATCATCCTTGTCATAATTTCTAACCTTATCACCAGGCTCATCACATGGAATGGCAGTTGTCCAATCCAAATCCACATTTTGCTCAACATTCTCACCTTCAACAACATGCTCATTCAACTTATAATCATCATGACTAGAACTACTTATCTTACCCCCACTCCCAATATAGTCTTCATCATCATCTATTCTAACTTCAACTTCAGCCTCAATATGTTCACTTCCATCTTCAACTTCAGCCTCAACATGTTCACTTTCAACTTCAACTTCAGCCTCGTCATGATTACTTATAATTTGAACATCAGAATCAACTTCATCATGAACATAGTTTAGACCACCATAATCATCATCCTCAATAGGTGTCACTTCTATTGAGTGCTCAACATACACATCTACCAATTCAAAACCCTTAATATCCTCAGCAAACTTAAGAACATCACTATCACAGTTTAGGGGTCTAAGGCCACGACTAAAGCTATATTTGGGGTTCCAATACCACGTACACTTGATATTCCTATAACCCTCATCTTTTATCAAATTTTTTAAATTCATATACGACATGTAATCCGTATTCCACTTCCAATCCAATTCAGACACTAATCCATCAACATACCATTTAACAGGTCTCTTTCTAACTTTCCCCTATGATGAAATCTTAGCTTAATGCAATGACTTTGAGATGGTCTGAATAAGTAACAAACTTTACATCAGAATAGAATACTGTCTAAAACACGGTGAAAACAAAACGATGAGAAATAACAAGTTCAAAGAGCATCATGACATACCTCAAACAGTATCAGACATCTTTTTTGCCTATCAAAGACAGTGGAATAAGTGGAATGTTGCTCATCTTCCTTGTCACTTACTGCTTGGACGAACGGTGGATGATGAAGACCTTTGCGTTTCTGGGTTGAGAAGGTTAAGGCAATATACGTTTAGGGCTTATGAATTTGCAATTTGGGAAAAAAATATCTTATAACACGTTTTTATGAAATTAAGAAATGAATAAATTTATTTAAAACACTTCTGAAAAGTTTTATTGTCATTTAAATTAATTACTTTTTATACTAAATTACGTGGCACCATATTCATTTAAACAGGTCAGTATTTCTATGTGCCACATATACAATTATGGAGAGAGACTAAAAAATTACCAAAAAATATTATGTTTAGGGATTAAAAGGCTGAATTTTGTAAAGGGAGATCAAAAGTTAAAAAAATGCATGTAAATATGGAGTCAAAATCACATTTAAGCCAAATTACAAATAATGGATTGCATGAGATAAATGATTGAATGTTTGTTTAGCTTCACATATAAAAAGTGTTGTGATATTAAAACTAATTACATTAAAATAGAGTTTAAAGGAGATGCAATGACAACATAAAAAAGTTTTACACTATCATTCAATAGAAATATATTATTTTGTTATGTTATATAAATTTTTTAAAAATTACAATCTTATTTGACGGTATTCATGGTCATGATTAGTTGAAAATGAAAAATTTTACACTATTAATGCATCACTCATTTTCTCATAAAATAAATTGTTGAAAACTTTTAAAATATAAAAACTTTAAAATAATTGTAATTTCTAAAAATTTTAAATGTATTCATAATTTATTTTACTTTTTTAATTATATATTTATTTTACAAATATTTCTAATCATTATTTATTCAAAATACATAGATTAATTTTTAGCCCCCATCGGAAAACAATTCTGGATCCGCCACCCGCCACTGGCTCAAGCACTATTCATTTTTTTTAAATATTCAATTACACAACTGTTTTCCTGATATTAAACAACGTTTCTAGAAAAATAATCTAACTTCCATTTAAAAATGCAATAATCAACTCTCAGATTTCAACTTATTTTAAAATTTTTAATATATAGTTCAGATCAAAGGCAGTACATACACGTTACTTAATATTTTATTCACCATTCGACTTAAACAAACAAATTTAATATCAATACTCCAGTGCAGAGTGTCTAGTCTCAAGATAGTGATTTTGAGATAACACAAAACCTCTTTCCACGTGTATGCATGAATTAATTAAACAAACACCTCTTCGTTAAAATCGCCATCACCTTATATTTAAACACCAACATTTGACATCAATCTCTCATCACACTTCACACCTAAGAGATTGATCATGGAAGGAATAGAACACAGAACAGTTGAAGTGAATGGAATCAAAATGCATATCGCTGAGAAAGGAAAAGAAGGACCGGTTGTTTTGTTCCTTCACGGCTTCCCTGAACTCTGGTACTCATGGCGCCACCAGATTGCCGCTCTCGGCTCCCTTGGTTACCGTGCCGTGGCTCCGGATCTCCGTGGCTACGGGGACACGGAAGCTCCCGCTTCGGTAAGTAGCTATACGATCTTTCATTTGGTGGGTGACGTTATTGCTCTCATCGACTCACTCGGTGTTGATCAAGTTTTCCTTGTGGCTCATGATTGGGGTGCTATCATTGGTTGGAATCTCTGTTTGTTTCGCCCTGAGAGAATCAAAGCTTATGTGTGTCTGAGTGTTCCATTTTTACCGAGAAACCCTAAAATCAAACCTGTTGATGGCATGCGAGCTTTGTTTGGTGATGATTATTACATCTGCAGATTCCAGGTTAGTTCGTATTTTTGTGTTTTCACTATTTGTTATTGCTTTTGAATCTGTCTACGTAACTAAAAACGAGATCCTTTAACTTTTGACTCCTCAATAATAGCGACGGTGCCTTTGACCGTGGCTAAAAGTGTCATTGCTTCGTTGGAACATATCATAAAATTTGTAAACCCTAGTTATAGATACTAGATATGATATATTAATTCAAATCCGTGTGATAGGAACCAGGGAAAGCAGAAGCTGAATTTGCCAAAGCTAGTCCAGATTTGGTGATTAAGAACATGCTTACAAGCAGGAATTCTGGACCACCAATCTTACCCAAAGAAGGAACTGTGCTATATAATCCTGAAGCTGCAAGAGCAAAGCCTCTCCCTTCTTGGCTCTCACAAGAAGATATCAATTACTATGCTTCTAAATTTGAAAAGTCTGGATTCACCGGTGGACTTAACTACTACAGAAATTTCAACTTGTAAGTCTGTTTTATGTCCATTACCGTAAAAACAAAAATTTGCGGTTAATTCATTATGCTGTGTATTATGTTTACAGAAACTGGGAGCTGACAGCAGCATGGACTGGAGCACAAATTAAGGTACCAGTGAAGTTCATCACAGGTGATTTGGATTTAGTTTATGTTTCAATGGGTACAAAGCAATATATTGAGAGTGGTGGTTTCAAGAAAGATGTGCCAAATTTGGAGGAAGTGGTTATACAAAAAGGTGTGGCTCACTACAACAGCCAAGAAGCTGCTGAAGATGTAAGCAATCACATTTATGAATTCATCAAGAAGTACTAGTTCTGATCTTATTAAATGAATTCTCAAGCAACTCTTGACTTCTTTTAATAAATAATTTAGCTACAAAGTATGCTACTCGCGGCTATTTGAAGTTACATTTGTGTGCTCATTGTATTAAGGATTACTTGTACTTGTAATGTAAGGGTAATTACTATTGTTTTGTTTTTATTTTGCACCATAGACGTTAATCCTTGTTTTAATGAACTTGAAATTTTTCTGTTATGTTTTTCTTGCTTGATAAATAGTACTCTCTTCGTCCTAATTTATAAGACATTTTACTATTTTATATGAATTAAAATAATTAATTATTATTTTAAAGAAAAAACAAATTTAATTAAAAAAGTTGAAAGAAAAAATAATAATAAATATTTAAAGGTATAAAAAAAAGTTATAATTTAAGACAAATTATTTTTGTAAAAGTGTTTTATAATCTGGATAACAATTACGTATCTGCAGCGCTATGGACAATGCAACATCCTAAAATTAAGACCACTTGAATTTTTTTTATTATCAATGATTTTAAGAAAATGGGACAACAGATATTATTTGTTTTTAAAAAGGGGTGGGACAGGCCAATTAAAAGTTTAGGGTTTTGGTATCTTTTTAGGAGTATCTTTTTATGCGTGGTTAATGGTAGGGTTGGACAAAAAAAAATGGCATTGGCTCGGGTGAATTAGGTTATCGGTTTGATGGTTTGAAAAGAAAAGGGTTGGTATAGATTAAAGCGGGCGATTTAGGTTTGAATTTCTAGACCTAGAGAAATCATAAATCGTCTGGTCAAGTAAAATCTTTAAGTCACTAAAATTTCTATAGTCCAACCAAACCAATCAACACACATTCTCATTTCTCCGTCTTAATACACACGACACCACAATCACATTTCATTTCAACTCTCTACTATAGGATTTCCAATTTTTCATCTTTCTCAAGTCTCACGATCGGTAGCCACTGTTGCCGTCCACCATTCAACCACGAACAACCACCAATGTAAGTTATTCGTCTATTTCTTTCTCCTTCTCTCCATGTCATTCTTTGTCTCTTTCACTCGCTCTTTCTTTGTTTCTCTCTCTCTCTCTGATTGATAAGTTAAGTATGAATTTGAACTATTGTTAATAGATTTGCTATGTTTGATGTTTGAATGAAATGAATGATCTGTAGTTGTAGCCTGAATCTGAACTCTACATCTTCAAGCCATTTTTTTATAGGTTTGATATGTTTCAATTTGGACTCTTCATCTTCAAACCCTAACAGTTTCAAATCCTATCAGTATCAAGTAAAATTATTTTTTGTTGTTTTAGCTATGTTTGATATGTTTCAAATCCAAATCTGAATTATGTTTGATATGTTTAATATGTTGGAAATCCACCAAAAACTATGATGAATTTCTACCACAATGACAATTTAATTATGAGAAAAACAAAGAAAAGAAGACAAGACAAGACAAATAATTTCTGCAGAGTTTCTCTCTGCTCAAAAACTGTGAAAACTTTATTATTCACTTTGCAACTGCAAAATACTGTGAATGACTTGCTTGACTTGCTTTCAAAAATAGGGGTTACTCCCTCTATTTATAACTGAGCTTACACTCTAAGCCCAAAGCCCAAAATATCTATTTTGTTACTAAATCAAATCTAATTTATTCTAGACTTAAATCAAATCTATTTAAATCTAAAACAAATCAAATCTTTCCGACGCATAGTTTCAACACATTGGATTACAATTAACACACCACCTAATTCATTGTGTCTAAACTATCTATATTCATCATGGCTCTTAGCTTTCTGAATACTTCGACTTGCACTCCCTTCATCATGATGTCTGCAATCTGATTCTCAGTTCTGCAGTGTTCCAAATTCATCTTCCCATCTACTACCTGCTCTCGAAGATAATGGTGCCTCATTTCGATGTGCTTACTTCGACCATGTGCTATTCGGTTCTTCGCCAGATTAATAGCTGACATGCTGTCTATTTTCATGGTAATTGCTCCATGATTTTTCCCTGTTATCTCTTCGACCAAGTTCACCATTCAAGTTGCTTGACATGCACAAATAGAAGCAGCTATGTATTCTTCTTCGCATGATGATAATGCCACTACTGGTTCCTTTCTTGAATTCCAAGCAACTGGTGCACCACCTAGCATAAACACATATCCTGCTGTTGACTTTCGATCTTCAACATCACTACACCAACTCGAATCAGTGTATCCCACTAACTTACATTCTTTTCTTTTATCAACTGCAGGAAACAAAATGCCATAATCGAAAGTTCCTTTGAGATACCTTAGTATCCTCTTCACTGCTGCTAGATGTGATACCTTTGGCTTCTGCATGAATCTACTTACCATACCTACACTATATGCTAAGTCAGGCCTTGTATGACAAAGGTATCTCAATGATCCAATAAGTCTTCTGTATTGGGTTGGATCAACATCATCTTCATCTGCATCTTTCGACAATTGCAGTCTTGGTTCTGCAGGTGTCGAAGTTGAGTTGCATTCTTCCATCTCAAACCTCTTGAGAATTTCTCCTGTATATCTTCTTTGATGCATCATCAAACCTCTACTGCTCTTGTAGAATTCGATACCAAGGAAATATGAAATCTCACCCAAATCAGACATTTCGACTTCTTTGTTGAGATCACCTTTGAAGTCTTCGATCTCACTTTTACAGCTACATGTTATCAACAAATCATCTACATAGAGACATAGTATAAGCAATTTACTCTTGCTTCTTCTTACATATACTCCATGTTCAGTTGTGCACTTCACAAATTCCTTCTCCCTTAGAAAACTATCAATTTTCTTATTCCAAGCCCTTGGAGCTTGTTTCAATCCATACATGGCTTTATGTAGCCTGTACACCTTTCTTTCTTCGTCATGTTTCACAAACTCAACTGGTTGTTTAACATAGACTTCTTCATCTAAGGGTCCATTTAGGAATGCACACTTCACGTCCATCTGACACATGTGCCAACTGTTTATTTCTGCTAGACCAACAACCAACCTGATTGTTTCGATCCTAGCAACAGGTGCAAAAACTTCATCGAAGTCTATTCCTTCTTTCTGTAGAAATCCTTTCGCCACAAGTCTTGCTTTGTGTCGAGTTACTTCACCTTTTGAATTCGTTTTCACTTTGTATACCCACTTGACATTAATTTCCTTCTTGCCTTGAGGCAATTCGACAAATGACCAAGTGTTGTTGTCTTCGATAGACTTTACTTCTTCATTCATTGCTTTCACCCACTTCGAATCCTTTAATGCTTCAGTTGCATTAACAGGTTCGACATCTGCATAGAAAGCATAATGTACCAGCTCACCTTCACCATCTATCACATCATCTGATGTAATCACACAATCTTGCAATCTTGCAGGCATGCGTCTTGTTCTTTGAGGCCTGCTTGTACTTGGTATATTTGCTGGTTCCTCTTGTCGAACTTCTCTTTCGACTTGAGTTTCTGGCTCTTCAAGAAGGATTCCCACTGGATCTTTCTTGACATTATCAGTCCAATCCCATTCTTTAAACACATCTATGATCACGTCCCTGCTGATCACAATCTGCTTTTTCACTGGATCGAACAACTTGTAGCCTCCTGTCAAATGATATCCAACTAGAATCATTTGACTTGACTTATCATCAAGTTTTCTTCTCAATTGATCTGGAAAATGCCTATGTGCAATAGATCCAAATACCTTCAGATGACTCAAGCTAGGCTTCACACCAGACCAACATTCTTCTGGAGTAATTCCTTCTAGCTTCTTTGTAGGACATATGTTCAAAATGTATGTTGCAGTCGAAACAGCTTCACCCCAAAACTCTTTAGGTAAATTCTTGCCTTTCAACATACTTCTCACCATATTCATGATGGTTCGATTTTTCCTTTATGCAATTCCATTTTGTTGTGGAGTATAGGGTGGCACCACCTCATGCACAATCCCTTCCTTTTCACATAATCTGTCGAAGTCTTTCGACACATATTCTCCACCACCATCAGTTCTCAAAACATTGAGCTTTCGACCACTTTGTCTTTCGACCATAGACTTAAACTTGGTAAATACTTCGATCACTTCACTTTTCTTCTTGATCAGGTAAGTCCATAGCTTTCAACTGAAATCTTCTATGAATGTAACAAAGTATTTGTTACCTCCCATCGAATCCACCTGGATTGGTACACATACATCAGAGTATATGACTTCAAGACTAGCCTTCGATCTGCTTCCTGCATCCTTGTTGAAGCTATTCTTGTGTTGCTTCACCTGCACACATTCCCCACATACCTCGTTTGGAATGTCAATTTCTGGCAATCCTGAAACCATATTTCTTCTCTTCAAATCTCTGATGTCTCTGAAATTGAGATGGCCTAGTCTATAATGCCATATCCATTCATCTCTGCTAGTTGCAGTTGAAAGGCACTTGTGCTCCATCACATTTAGTTCAATCTTGAAGGTTCGATTCTGAGACATAGGAGCCTCCAAGATTAATCTCCCATTTGCATCAACGACTCTCATCATTTTATCTTTGATTGACACTTTGTAATTATTTTCGACCAACTGTCCTATACTGAGCAAATTACTCTTCATGTCTGGTATGTACAACACATTGGAGATTAGTGACCTTTTTCCATATTTTCTCATAATCATAACATCACCAATACCTTCAGCTACTAGGGTATTGTTATTTGCAAATTTTACCATATTTTTCATTGAGGGCTTTATATTGACGAACCAGTCTTTCCTTCCAGACATATGTGATGAACATCCTGAATCTAAGTACCATTGGTCCTTGAATCTATCTTCATCTCTTGTTGTGACCATCAGCATCATCTCTTCTTCTTCTTCATGTTTTGCAAGCTTTGCATCACTTTTTTGATTCTTTCATTTTTCTGGATAATCACTTGAATAGTGACCATACTTCTGACAATTGTAACATTGAATGTGACTCTTATCAGGTTTTTGACCACCACCTCTTTCTCTATTTGCAACACCACCTCTTTGGTTGCCTTGGTATAATCTTCTTTGATTCGACACGTTTCCTTCAATCTAGTTTCCTCTACCATTAGATTTGTTGTAGCCACCTCTACCTCTGTTGAAACACTTTCCTTTGCCTTTGGTCTCTTTTGCTGAATGTGCCTGCAGGGCCACATCACTCTTCGATTTTCCTGCAGCTCTTTCGTTCATTCTTTGTTCATGCGATTCAAGCGTCCCTTGAAGCTCTTCCTTTGTCAATTTCGACAAGTCTTTCCCCTCTTCTATCGCCACCACTATGTGGTCGAACTTAGGAGCTAAAGATCTCAAGATCTTCGATACAACAACTCTTGTTGTTAACGCTTCTCCACATATCTTGATTTGATTTACTAGTTTTGTAATTCTAGTGAAGAAATCAGATATGCTTTCAGTGTCTTCCATCTGAAGCAGTTCATATGTCCTTTTGTGAGTTTGTAACCTCACTTCTTTCACTTTCTCAGCGCCTCCAAAAGACTTCTCAAGGATTTCCCAAGCTTCTTTTGCAGATTCTGAATCACTAACCTTTTCGAAATTGTCAAGGATGACACATTGATGAATTATAAATAATACTTTATAACTCAGCTTCTCAGATTCTATGTATTTCTTCTTTTCTTCTTCTGAAGTATTTTCTCCAAACGCTTCGACTTCATCTTTTACAAGGTCCCAAAGACCTTGACACCTGAATAAGACTTTCATCTGTTTGCAGCAATTCTCATAAT